CCAAGTTGCCAGATACTGGTCAAAGGACATTTAATAGAATACCAAGTCTGCAAACTTTGTGTTATGTTTGTTTGTTTTTAATGCAATACGACTGTTTTGGTTCGCTCCTGACATGATAAATAAATACCATCAAAATCACATTCTCTCAGCACCACAAAGTCACAGAAGGAGGACTACTGTTTTTCATCAAGCACTTCATTTTGCAGAGTGCTCACAGTGCTCCCATCCACATAATTGGATTCTTGCCTAATATGTGAAAGTCCAGCAAAAAGGGGTCTGGATTCCCCAAATGGAAAAAGGCATTTGTGATGAAGTGTAAATTTTTATCTACAGTTACGTATTATTATAGATAAGTGTTTGTATGGGTAAGTATATAATATTGCATGATATTGGGAGATGGTAGCCAGTTCAGCTAGCTTTCATCTGAGTAGCTATGGAGATGGGGGCGGAGCCAACTGCATCTTGGCAGAGCAGCCATTTTAGAGCAGTTAGTCTGTGGTCAGTGAACTCAGAGGTGGCTGGTCCTGTTGTGTGTGGAAAACCAGTGGGAATCCTGTAGTTAAAGAACTACAGGGGAGGACTGATTCTTTGATATTAAGAATCAGGAAGGGTTTGGCTTTGCGCCAATATAGTATAGATAAGTCGGGTGACTTACTGTATATACTCGAGTATAAGCCTAGTTTTTCAGCCCCCTTTTTAGGCTGAAAAAGCTCCCCTCGGCTTATACTTGAGTCAAGGTTATTTATTCTTTTACTCTGTTATTAGTATTATTTTATTACATTTATTATTTTACTATATTATTATTATATTTATTTTGCTCTATTATTATTACATTTACAGTATTTTACCCTATTATTACATTTATTATTTTAATCTATTTATTATTATTATTACATTTACAGTATTTACCCTATTATTACTACATTTATTATTTTACTCTATTATTACTGTTTTTATTACATTTTCATTATTTCACTGTATCATTTTTATTATATTTATTATTTTAATAATAAGTACATTTACATTGAAGTAGGTTAGCATAATGGTTTAATAAGAGTTGGACAGTCTTATCTTAAATTACAGTTTTATGTAAATATTCAAAAACATTTAGCCTACTGATGCCTCAATTAATGTAATTTTATTGGTATCTATTTTTATTTTGAAATTGACCCATAGTGGATGTATTTCCCACCCTCGGCTTATACTCGAGTCAATACGTTTTCCCAGTTTTTTGTGATAAAATTAAGTGCCTTGGCTTATATTCGGGTCAGCTTATACTCGAGTATATACAGTATTTATATTAAAAGCAACAGTTGTGGAAAAAGAGGAGAAACCCTAATAAGCACCTTTATTGTAACAGAACCATCATAAAGAAAGGTTCAAGCATGTGCCTGAACCAATCTGTTAAAGACAGAACCATCTTTATAAAGGAACTAAGTTTGAGACCTGTTTGTCAGAAGAATTAGACCTCCTAAGAGTTATTTAAGAACTGTTATGAATGTAACCTTTGAAGATCTGTACCTCTAAGAGAAAGGACACTTTGAAACCATCAAGCTTCTGTACCTCAATAAACTTGTTACAGTTTCCTTTTAAAGTCAAGCCTGTGTTACCATTCTTTTCCAAGTCAAATCACACTACATACTGAAGAAAGACTAAACCCATATTACAAGCTATATATCCTTACAATTTGGCAGCATCATTGCAAATTAGTGGCCAAGCCTTTACAATTAGTAGCAGTAATATATTGGCTCCTTCACAGCATTTATTCTGAGTATCTGTGCCTATAATCACACTCTCAGCACACACATACACGGCATTTTGTTCTGCTCTGTATCATTTAACACATGGGACTCACTACTTAAATATGTTGGGATTTGCTCACCCCTGCCCCCTGGCTGGGCTGAATGTAGATACTGCCCTTGCTTTGAATGTGACGCTCTATAACACTCCATTCCTTAGGGCTCAGAGACAGGATTTTCTGCACCTGCTGGTTCTTGCATAAAACCGCAAACTCACTCGTGCCATCTTCTATGAGGATTCTGAAAGCAAAAGCAGATTTTGCAGTAAACAGTATTTTGGCAGTATTTTGATAAGGATGGCCTGTTCAAATTGCTAGGCCAGACCAGACACTATCTGGCAACTACCTATAAGCTATGACCAACAAAGAATGGGATCAGAAGTTCTATCACCAGCCCATTCTGGCTCTGAGTCAGAATGGGCTGCACCAACCGAGCTCGGCCTCTAGGGGGAACCTAAGCTTCTCCCCTAAACTTGGCAAAATGGAACAGTCCAACAGGCAACAAGGAAATAATACTAGGCCGAGACATCACACCACTGTTTTACAATGGTCTGGCTCCTGTTTCAAAGGCTAGTTCTAGCTCCATAGCTGTTAAAGAGTTTCCACCCCACCAGAGTGGAAATCATCTAATGGACAGATGGCAAGCTATTTAACCTCAGCAGACTGAAAGCCAAAACCAAGGTTACAACAACATCTATTATAGAACTCCGGTATGCTGATGACAACGTCATCTGTGCGCATTCAGAAGAAGACCTGCAAGCCACTCTAAACACCTTCACAGAAGCATACGAGAAGCTCGGCCTGTCATTGAACATTGAGAAAATCAAAATGCTCTTTCAGCGGTCACCAGGCAATCCCTCTCCAATGTCAGAAATACAGCTTAATGCTGTAACATTAGAAAATGTTGACCATTTCCGCTACCTTGGCAGCCACCTCTCCACCAAAGTCAACATCAACACTGAAATTCAACACTGCCTAAGCTCTGCGAGTGCAGCCATTTTCCAAATGTAGCAGAGAGTGTTTGAGGACTGGGACATCCGCAGGGATACCAAGGTGCTTGTTCATAAAGTTATTGTCCTCCCAACCCTGCTGTACGCTTGCAAGACATGGACAGTCTGATGGCTTGCTCCTGGACTGCAAGAATCAGGCCTTCTGTCTTCTTCTTCAGGGTTCCATTCGTGCGCCATAACTAGGTCTTCTCCTTGTCAACTTTTCTTTCAATCTTCTCAAGGAACTGCCCATGTAAGGCTTTGTTGTGCTAGCTGTCAGCCCGGTTTGCAGTTTTCTTGTACCGACTCTTTGTCTGCTGTGCTTTGAGAAATTTCAGATTATTGACTTCAATTAAAACAGGTTCTTGGCTTTCCTTGCCATATTCTGCCAGGACGTGTTTTTCTTCTTCGACTGCTTGTTTGACTTGTAAAAGTCCTCTGCTCCCAGACTTTCTAGGCAGATAGAGCCTATCAATATCACTGTGAGGATGTAATTAATTATGAAAGGTCATGAGTTTTTCTGTCCAAATTGTCCAGTTCTGCCTGTGTCCAGTTTATGGTGCCAGCAGTATATCTTCATAGAATCATAGAACCATAGAATCATGGGTCATCCAGTCCAACCTCCTGCCAAGAAGAAGGAATATTGCATTCAAATCACCCCCGACAGATGACCATCCAGCCTCTGTTTAAAAGCTTCCAAAGGAGGAGCCTCCACCACACTCCAGAGCAGAGAGTTCCACTGCTGAACAGCTCTCACGACAGGTATGGCTCAGGTGTTTATGGCCTTGATGGTGTTGCCTCCATTGAGCTTGCTTTTGAGAATTTTTCTGACCCTTTGAATGTATTCTTTGCTGACCACAGTTTTCACATGTTCACCCCCGATGGGTGCCACCTTGTTGTGGTGGGGGGCTTAACTGCTCCAAGGATGCTGAGAGCTGTGCTGGCGGTGGTGTAACTACCAGCAGGTCCAACCAAGCCAGAGAGGTCTCAGCTGAGGAGTGGAACCAAGAGCACCTAACACATTAGCACTATGGAGAAGCAAACCAAAACAAAGTCTATATTGGCTCGGTCGACGTCCAGGATAAAAAGGACCGCGGTGGATGCTGCTGATTCTGGACATCCATCGACAAGTGGACTACAGAATCAAAATACAAATGAACCATCACAGAAGCGGCAGAAATATACAATGCCAGAAAACCGCACAATTAATTAATTAATTAATTATTATTATTGTTATTATTATTATTATCAGTAAACGCCTGTCTATACAGTATACCTATATGGCCAGGTTGCACAAACATTTCTCAGGTTTGAAAGGAGTTATGAGTGGGAATAGTTCAAGAAGCCCTGTTCTAGACAATGATGGGATTTCTTAAAAGACAGATGTACAAATGATGTGCAAATCCCGTTTTGCAGTACTCACTTAGCATTCACGTTACTCACTCCAGTATGTGACAAACAAGCTGAATGATTCTGGCTCCACCTGCCCTGAATGGGAAAAGAGAGAAGGTGAAGACAAGCTCAGGTCTCTCTTGTTTCAGACAACAAATGTCAACAACCATACAATTGAGTGTCCATACTGTCAAGTGAGTAGGTTTCATATAGAAACGTATAGCATCGTGGGAAAGGTTCTATCGAGGGAAGGAATGGCTGACTAGGTACCTCTATAAAGACACTGTTGCAGATAGAGCAAGTCCAACGGAGAGACAAAAAAAGGACACAAGTCACGTGGCAAGTGACCTTTACTTGGCACAGAGTAGGAGGCTGAAGCGCTACATTGTACAAATGTACTCCTGAAAGGACAGAAGTGAGATCTGGATACCTGGAAATAAAAGGACAACATTAGAATGTATTATAACAGGGGTCCCCAAACTAAGGTCATTTACTCACCCTTGCCCCCATCCTAAACTTTAGACTGAGGGGTCATCCTCAGTCTGAAACTACTTGAAGGCACACAAGAACAACAATCCTAATTCACTTGACTATCTCATCACTCAAAAGCAGGCCTACACTTCATAGAATCATAGAATCAAAGAGTTGGAAGAGACCTCATGGGCCATCGAGTCCAACCCCCTGCCAAGAAGCAGGAAAATTGCATTCAAAGCACTCCTGAGAGATGGCCATACAGCCTCTGTTTAAAAGCCTCCACCACACTCCGGGGCAGAGAGTTCCACTGCTGAATGGCTCTCACAGTCAGGAAGTTCTTCTTCATGTTCAGATGGAATCTCCTTTCTTGTAGTTTGAAGCCATTGCTCCATTGTGTCCTAGTCTCCAGGGCAGCAGAAAACAAGCTTGCTCCCTCCTCCCTGTGACTTCCTCTCACATATTTATACATGGCTATCATATCTCCAATCAGCCTTCTCTTCTTCAGGCTAAACATGCCCAGCTCTTTAAGCTGCTCCTCATAGGGCTTGTTCTCCAGACCCTTGGTCATTTTAGTCCTCCTCTGGACACATTCCACCTTGTCTATATCTCTCTTCAATTGTGGTGCCCAGAATTGGACACAATATTCCAGGTGTGGTGTGACCAAGGTGGAATAGAGGGGTAGCATGACTTCCCTAGATCTAGACACTATGCTCCTATTGATGCAGGCCAAAATCCCATTGGCTGTTTTGCCACCACATCACATTGTTCTTTGGTGATTTCTCCCTTTTTCCACTTCTTGTGCATGTCTCTTTTGAGTCTTAGCACAGTTAGAAGTTCTTTGGACATCCATTCTGGCTTCTTTGCGCTTGTCCTATTTTTTCTCTTTGTTGGCACTGTTTGCAATTGTGCCTTGAGTATTTCACTCTTGAAAAACTTCCATCCATCCGTAACTCCCTTGTCTTTTAGTATCTGTGTCCACGGAATGCTGTTCAGTGTTTCCTGTTTTTTGGAAATCAGCTCTCCTAAAGTCCAAAATGCGGGTTTGACTTATCTTAGTTTTGGCCTTCCTTTGTACCTCAAACTAAGGTTTGTGAGCCGGATATGGCCTACAAGGTCCCACCCACCCCCTTCCATCCTAAACTTTAGACTTAGGGTCACCTTCAGTCTGAAACTACTTGAAGACATACAACAATAACAATCCTAATTCACTTGACTATCTCATCACTCAAAAGCAGGCCTACACTTCCCATTGAAATACTGGTAAGTTAATGCTGGTAAAAATTATTATTTGTTTATAAATACTGTATTGTTCTTTCATGTTTTTTGTGCTATAAATAGGATATCTCTGGTGGGCATAGGAATTTGTTCATGTGTTTTTCAAACTCTAGTCCAGCCCCCCAACAGTCTGAGTGACTGTGAAATGGCACCCAGCTTCAAAAGTTTGAGGACCACTGCATTAGACAATTCCACCAAAGAACCAAATGAAGGACACAAGTTCTTTAAAAAACTGTTTATGCTCACCGGTAAGAAAGGTTGTTAAGTGGAGGAGTCAGAATGCACATGCAGCTAGATGCAACGTAAGTACAGTAAACATTGCTGAACCTGTAACTCAAAAAGACAGAAACTGGTTTCAAAATGAACTCTACCAATAGGAGCAGCATTCACTACATGTTCTCCAAACCACCCAGTGAACAGAACCACTTCCTTCCTTGATTTATAGTTTTCATGTGTATCTAGCATTGTTGCACTAGTTAGATCTTTCTCAGCAAGAACACTGTCAGAAACATTCCAGAATAAATTCGACTTTCCAAATCATTTATTTTTGAATTCTTTTATGCAACAAGTACTTAGAATCATTTATAGAATCACAGAGCTGGAAGAGGCCAGCAGAGCCATCCAGTTAGAACAATGAAAGCACTCCCAACAGATGGCCATCCACCCTACTTAAAAACCTCCAGAGAAGGAGACTACACCACACTCCAAGGCAGTATATTACTGCTCTTACTGGCTCGAGAGCAGTACATGTGAAAAAGATCTTGGAGTCTTCGTGGACAACAAATTAAACATGAGCCAACAATGTGATGCGGCGGCAAAAAAAAGCCAATGGGATTTTGGCCTGCATCAATAGGAGCATAGTGTCTAGATCTAGGGAAGTCATGTCACCCCTTTATTCCCCCTTGGTTAGACCACACCTGGAATACTGTGTCCAATTCTGGGCACCACAATTGAAGAGAGATGTTGACAAGCTGGAATGTGTCCAGAGGAGGGCGACTAAAATGATCAAGGGTCTGGAGAACAAGCCCTATGAAGAGTGGCTTAAGGAGCTGGGCATGTTTAGCCTGAAGAAGAGAAGGCTGAGAGGAGACATGACAGCCATGTATAAATATGTGAGAGAAAGTCACAGGGAGGAGGGAGCAAGCTTGTTTTCTGCTTCCCTGGAGACTAGGACGCGGAACATTGGCTTCAAACTACAAGAAAGAAGATTAGATCTGAACATGAGGAAGAACTTCCTGACTGTGAGAGCCGTTCAGTAGTGGAACTCTCTGTCCCGGAGTGTGGTGGAGGCTCCTTCTTTGGAGGCTTTTAAACAGAGGCTGGATGGCCATCTGTCAGGTTTGCTTTGAATGCAATATTCCTGCTTCTTGGAAGGGGGTTGGACTGGATGGCCCATGAGGTCTCTTCCAACTCTAGGATTCTGTGATTCAGGTTTTCCCCAACAGACACAACCACACTTTATCCTGTCTCTTCCCCTTCACCTATGTGAAACACCTGTTTTCCTTGTCTGTTCACCTTGCTCATTTGATTTATTATAATAATAAATAATAAAACTATTTCTAGATCGCCTTCTCTCCCCAGAAGGACTCAGGGCAGTTTACACATAAAAAGGCAAAATTCAATGCTTCAAAACAGGTACTGACACACCAGAATAATATAAAATAATGGAGAGTAACAACAGAAAACTTACAACAAAGGAATTAAGTAGCAAAATAAAATAAAAACAAGAACAGTTCATTAAGACATAAAAACTAAAACTTAAATAAACATTACAATGTATGCCCTAAAACAAACTATGAGACATTGCATTAAAATAGCTAACAATGGTGTTTCATTTAAGATGTATCATAACAACCGTCTAATAGATTAGCCAGCAATCCTAATACTCCTCCTCTCCATATGCTAAAATGCTTAGGTGTGTTTTTAGGAGAGGAGGGTGGGGGCCTTTTTTGCACCGGGATTGTGGCGCAGCTGGCTGAGTGTCAGCTGCATAAGATCACTCTGACCAAAAGGTCATGAGTTCGAAGTCAGCCCAGGTTGGAGTGGGTTTCCAACCTATTGTGTGTAGCCTGTTGTCGACCTTTGCAACCCGAAAGGCAGTTGTACCTGTCAAGTAGGAAAATTAGGTACCAAGTTAAAAAGTGTGAGGAGGCTAAATTAACTGATTTATGAGGCCATAAAGAAGACTCCAGCAAAGCATTCCAGCGGGGAAGCATGCGGGGAATGCAGAAGTGCTTCATCAGCGTCGCAGATTTACGATGAAAGCAACAGCTCCCCTGGCAGCCAGAAAAAGGTAAATAGCCTCTGTGTATGTCTGTATATGTTTGTATGTCAAAAATTGGCATTGAATGTTTGCCATATATGTGTATACTGTAAACCGCCCTGAGTCCCCTGCGGGGTGAGAAGCTGTAAATAAATAAATAAATAAATAATTTTTTGTTTCTTTGGAAGGGGGGGGGGCAGAGGCAGGGAACGATCCTTTAAATGTATATTTCAAAGAAGTAGCCAAGTTAGTCTCTTGGGAGGGAAAAAGTGAAATCTGACAGCACCTTTAAGGCTAACTGGTATTTATTTTAGCATGCACTTTCCTGGACATAAACCTGTTTCTCCAGATGAAGTACCAACCATATTTATACAGTTGTGGGAGTGTGCCAAAAATATAATAAGGCCCAGAAATCATATCCCTTGCTCTAAATTTTCAGATATTTACAGTAATCATTTAATGTTGTTGTGTGAAAGCAATACCTCTGCTCACCAAAAAGTTAGTTTCTCTTGATTCAAAGATGCATACTGTATGAGAATAGTTCATCAAATCTTACAAAATATGATCCAAGAGAGAAATATTACTTGCAAGAATCTCAAACAATTCTACAATCCCTTTGCCAGACAGACACAAAGATCACAATTAGCAGCTAACAGATAAATGCCTAAAATTATGACTTAACTTGATAACTGAGCATTACATTTTACTAGCCAACTATGAAATTCAGAATGACAATTTCACCAAGTAGACTGAACAGTATCACACATGCGGTCTGATGAATCATAGAATCATAGAATCAAAGGGTTGGAAGAGACCTCATGGGCCATCCAGTCCAACCCCCTGCCAAGAAGCAGGAATATTGCATTCAAATCACCCCTGACAGATGGCCATCCAGCCTCTGCTTAAAAGCTTCCAAAGAAGGAGCCTCCACCACACTCCGTTGCTGACGTTATTTAACTTGGATGATGAATACATTATGATCTTTTTCTTTTAGCCTGATTGATTGCACAGTATTTAAGTTTTTCTTCCCTTTAAATTTAAGATAGTTTATTTATTTATCTATCTATCAATTTTATATACCGCCACTCCCCGAAGGCTCAGAGCGGTTTACAATATACATATGCGATACATTACATTTAAAATCAAAGAAAAATTTCAATCAGCAAGATTCAAATGCCAGCGTAAATAAATAAATTTTACAAGCTCTACGAAAAGATAGTAAGTCTCTGAGAGCTCGTATTTTCGCTGGCAAGGCATTCTACAGGTAAAGATGCTCTATGCCTAGTAGACATCAGGTGAAAGGTTCTAAAATTGGGAACTGCAAGGAGATTCTGATCGTCTGAATGGAGTGATCTCGGGGGTTGGTAGAGGGTGAGGCGGTCCCTCAGGTACTCCAGCCCCAGGCCATATAAGGCCTTAAAGGTAAGAATCAGCACTTTGAAGGTAATCCGGTGCTCAATCGGCAACCAGTGCAGTTGCGGCAAGATTGGAGTGATTGATGTGGCACCTCGCTGGAACCCCTGCGAGAAGCCGGGCAGCAGCATTTTGCACTAGTTTAAGTTTCTAGATCACTGATAAAGCCAGGCCTATGTAGAGGGCGTTACAGTAGTCCAACCTTGAGATGACGGTAGTCTGGATCACCGTGGCCAGGTCATCCCTGGACAGATAGGGATCCAGACACCTAGCCTAACGCAGATGGAAAAATGCGACTCTGCTCACAGCGGAGGCCTGGGCCTCTATTGTCAGTAGAGCATCTAAAAGGACTCCCAGACTCTTTACCAAAGATGACGGGCATAATGTCACACCATCCAGGGTAGGTAACCGGATCACTCCTCTGTCTGGGCAACCCAACCAGAGGATCTCCGTCTTCGCCAGATTCACCCTTAACCTGCTGGCACGCAACCATCCAGCAACGGCCTCAAGGCATTGATGGAAATTATCGGGTATGGAGTCTGGTCGGCCTTCCATCCTCAGGATGAGTTGAGTGTCATCAGCATACTGATAGCACTCAAGCCCAAAGCCTCGCACCAGCTGGGCAAGTGGCTGCATATAGATGTTAAACAACAGGGGGGAAAGGATAGCCCCCTGAGGGACCCCACATTCAAGAGGGGCCCTCTTAGAGACCGACCCTTCCCTCTCCACACGTTGGCCCCGCTTTTGAAGGAAAGAGGACAGCCATTTAAGGGCCATCCCCCTAATTCCAGCCACGGCTAGGCGGTGAATCAAAAGGTCGTAATCGACCGTATCAAATGCTGCCGTGAGGTCCAATAACACAAGCAGTGCTGATCCTCCTTGATCCATCTGGCAGCAGAGCTGATCTGTAATGGAGACCAACACAGTCTCCGTCCCATGCCTCTTACGGAAGCCAGACTGGAAGGGGTCTAATCCGGCTGTGTCATGTAGGAACTGCTGCAGTTGCTCCACTACCACCCTCTCAATCACCTTTCCCAGAAACGGAAATTCGAAACCAGGCGGTAATTGGAGGGAATCGAGCGATCTAGATCCGGTTTCTTCAGCAGTGGAGATACCACGGTCTCTTTCAGAGCCTCTGGAAAAACTCCTTGATCAAGGGAGCCCTTTATTATGTTCAACAAGGGACCATATAGTCCCTCCAAGCAAGATTTAACCAACCAAGAGGGACACAGGTCGAGAGAACAAGTGGTTTTGCTTCTTTCCATTCAAATATGCTCGATATGATTTCAAATGTTAAACAATCATGTCTATTGGATCAAACATACCTGGAAATTTTGCGCTGCACATTCTGGAAGGTTATCTTGGCTCCTGGGAGGATGCCCAAAAGATATGGCAGGAAAGACGCTTCGATGTACACATCCAACCAAACTGGGGAAGCAGGCGCTGGTGCTATGCTCAGCTTTACAGTGTAATCCAAGGACAGAGGGCTTGCTAAATGTGGAGACGACAGGCAACACTGTATTTTTATCCAGTAAATACCATTACCTTGAATTCATCTGGAAAAATCTCATTTTACAAGCTGTCCATCAGACAAGCCTGATGCACGGCAGGGGATTGGACTTGATCAGGGGTCCTCAAACTAAGGCCCGAGGGCCGAATACAGCCCTCCAAGGTCATTTACTCGGCCCTTGCTCAGGGTTAGCCTAAGTCTGAAATGACTTGAAAGCACACAACAACAATAACAATCCTATCTCATCAGCCAAAAGCAGGTCCACATTTCCCATTGAAATACTAATAAGTTTATATTTGTTAAAATTATTCTTCATTTTAATTACTGTATTGTTTTAAAGTGCTTTTGCACTACAGGTAAGATATGTGCAGTGTGCATAGGAATTCATTTGTGCTTTTGTCAAATTATAATCCAGCCTTCCAACAGTTTGAAGCCCTCTTTTTAAAAAGTCTGAAGATCCCTGGATTAGATGGCCCATGTGGTCTCTTCCAACTCTGTTATTCTATGATTCTAAGCCGTTTAACAGTGTATAATCAATAAGTGGCCCAGTTCTCCACATACAAGCACATTAATGCAAATTTGTCTGGGCAGATAATCTGATGTGCAGATATGCAATACTTTAGCCCCATAATGCTTCTAAGATCATGCCAGATTCATGCACTTTTCAGTATAGTCCAGACTCTCACCCTTTTGCTGGGTATCTGTTCTTGATTTCCTTCCAGCGAGAGATTTACACAAATGCCTCTCCACTACTTCTCCAGAGAAAGAAACAAGGGATCCCGTGAACCTAATGAGAGGGAAAACATCAAGGCTCTCAAATTCGTCACCATTTCACCGGCATAATTAGAGTCTAACTAATTAGGCCCTTTGATATCCTATTGATTTCAATGGGCTTCTTTCAAGTATAACAAATGCACACAACACTGAATTTCCTTAACACGTTTGCATACTGGCTCACATTAAAAATAATATAATTTTATTGCAGACTTTGAATGGGATAATTCAAAACAGGCTGCACAGAAAAAGAATTTCATCTGCCTAAAAGCTTGGTTCTTGTTACTTAGATGCTTTCACAGAATCATAGAGCTGGAAGAGACCTCATGGGCCACCCAGTCCAACCCCCTGCCAAAAAGCAGGAACACTGCATTCAAAGCATCCCCGACAGATGGCCATCCAGCCTCTGTTTAAAAGCTTCCAAAGAAGGAGCCTCCACCACACTCCGGGGCAGAGAGTTCCACTGCTGAACAGCTCTCACAGCCAGGAAGTTCCTCCTAATGTTCAGATGGAATCTCCTTTCTTGTAGTTTGAAGCCATTGTTCTGTGTCCTAGTCTCCAGGGAAGCAGAAAACAAGTTCGCTCCCTCCTCCTTATGACTTCCTCTCACATATTTATAAGAGTCTATCATATCTCCTCTCAGCCTTCTCTTTTCAGGTTAAACATGCCCAGCTCTTTAAGCCCCTCCTCAAAGGGCTTGTTTTCCAGACCCTTGATAATTTTAGTCACCCTTCTCTGGACACATTCCAGCTTGTCAGAATTGAACACAATATTCCAGGTGTGATCTAACCAAGGCAGAATAGAGGGGTAGCATGACTTTTTCTGGAGGATTTGATATATCTGTTGAAATGATACATCACGTGCACTTCCATGCAGTGGAAACTTAAATTGCTGATAGAACATTCCCTCTTGTAGGTGATGGTTTACTGACCCTCATTCCCCCTTAGGCATAACTCCAGGATGGCTTTTCAGAAGTACTCTCTCAATAAACCAGAACAGAAGACAGATCAACATACCTATCACTGAGTATCTCTTCAATGGAGAAGAACTTTTGTTCCGTCATAGATGAAACTGACTGAAAACACATTTTTAAAAAAGTTACTTCCTGACCTCTCATCATCTCAAACAACTGTAAACTTAAAGTGCACATTATAATAACCAAGTGGCTTGACTTAACCGTGGTAGCAGCAAAGGGGCTTATCGTCCCCAGCTCCTGTGACTAGTACTCAGCATTATCAGCCTGTTCTAAGTAAGGAAAAGGTAACTATTGCTTTCTGGTGCCTCTTGACTGCTCTCCCTGGGACTCACACACCTCTAGTCACCTGTCCCTACCATGCAATAGCATCCAAGCATAGAGAATTATTTTGTCATAAGGAAAATACTGATCTTGCCGAAACATCAAAACACATGTTTTGTTGCTGTTGGAGTAAATGCCCCATATATAGATCCTCTACAGCAGTGGTTCTCAACCTGTGGGTCCCCAAGTGTTTTGGCCTACAACTCCCAGAAATCTCAGCCAGTTTTCCAGCTGTTATGATTTCTGGAAATTGGAGGCCAAAACATCAGGGGACCCACACTTTGAGAACCACTGCTGTAAAGGGGTGTGTAATAAAGTATGTATGTAATGTATAATATAATATCCCACAGCTGAACTGTGAAGGAATACATATAATATCACGCCACTGGTAACACCAATATAATGTATATGACACAAACGACGACGTGAGGCTGGAGGCTTATTAAAATTATGTCTGGGCAGATTGGATCTTCCTCAAAGATCTTCTTTTCTTCAGAAATCCCACCCCTGTGCCTCCAATCTAGTAGTGGGACGATGATGTATGTGGGTTATGGTAGAGTGATCACTGCTTGTCTTTAATCTCCCTTTTGGAATTAAAGCTGCCACCAACCTAAGTTGCCTAAGTTCTAAAATGAGTATTTCAGGTAAACTTTTCCCACTCCTGCCAGCACTGCTTTTCCCCCTGGCTCCCAAAATAACTGTTCGTTAAGAGGCTTTTCTGTAGTAACAGGATGTAAAAAATGCTGGAACTATCACCAAGGCTTGATGATGGAATGATGCACAGTAGAGATCTTTTGAAAGTTAAATAGAACAAGATTTATTTATAAGAACAGACAACTAACTACTCCTGAAAGGTACAAAAAGTGTGACTTGTTACAAAAGTACTTCAGCTTGATGGCTGCTTAAACAAGTTTCTTCACTTAGTTACAGACAGAGCTAACCTGATCTGACTGCTGGTAACAAAAACCCTCACTCTACTTCAGAGAAATAGTAATGAGTTCTGAGTAACCTATCCTAGGTAGTCCCGTGGGTTATTAACTAACTCTTCTCTAGAGTTCTTCCAGCCTGGAGAGACAATCTCTTGTGCTCACTCTCACAAGAAATCAGATTGCTGTCTGACCTTTTTCCTGTCAGCTCCCAGCACTGTCTAACACAGACACTCTCTCCCTGAAAACCCAGTTTCAAAACCCTTCTTCACACACCAGTTCTCAACTTTCACTGAAGCTGAAATCTTTTCCCTCCTAAGACTTGGCTCCTCCCAACTGCTCTGGCCAATCCTAGGAAACTCTAAACTCCTCCCCCCTTCTATCTATCCTCACTCAAGATGGCTGCCTCCCTGGCATTCACTCCCAAAATGGAGGTCTGTTATGCTGTTATCCAGGCTTCCTTTCCGGCCTACTAGGTAAGATTCACTACAGGGTGGCTGCTCCAGCTAGTCAGAATCCAACTGGCAACCATCACCCAGAGGACCTTTTCAACAACCTCCCCATGACTCTGGGATGAACTGCTGGAAGAGATCAAACAGCTGTCATAATTTACCGTATATACTCGAGTATAAGCTGACCTGAATATAAACCGAGGCACCTAATTTTACCACCAAAAATGGGAAAACTTATTCACTCGAGTATAAGTCAAGGGTGAGAAATGCAGCAGCTACTGGTAATACAAAATAAATATAGATACCAATAAAATTACATTAATTGAGGAAACAGTAGGTTAAATGTTTTTCAATGTTTACATAAAACTGTAATTTAAAATAAGACTGACAAACTTTGATTAAACCATTATTCTAACCTTCTTCAGTGTCAATGTGCTTATGTATCCTTCCAATAATAATAAAGAAAGTAAAATAATAAATGTAATAACTATAAAGTAAAATGATAAATGTAATAATAATAATAAAAATAAGTAGAGTAAAATAAATGAAATAAAATAATAATAGAGTAAAATAATGCAAATGTAATAATGCCAATAATAGAGTAAAATAATAAATGTAATAACAACAATAATAAAGTAAAATAATAAATGTAATAATAATAATAAACAGAGTAAAATAAATGTAATAAAATAATAATAGAGTAAAATAATGCAAATGTAATAATGCCAATAATAGAATAAAAAAACAAATGTAATAACAATAAAAATAAAGTAAAATAATAAATGTAATAATAATAATAAATAGAATAAAATAAATGTAATAAAATACTAGAGTAAAATAATGTAAATTAATAATACCAATAATAGAGTAAAATAATAAATGTAATAAAAATAATAGTAATAACCGAGTAAAATAATAAATAACTTTGACTCGAGTATAAGCCGAGGGCAGCTTTTCAAGCCTTAAAAAACTGGCTGAAAAACTAGGCTTATACTCGAGAATATACAGTAATACAGAATTTAAAAACTATCTTTTCCAGCAGGTCTACCCAGTCAATTTTAACTGTGAATTTTAAATTTGCATTTGATTGGTATCATGTTTTAATCTTTGTGCTATGTAATTTGGTATATGTGTTTTGGCTGTGTTCCACCCCACCTTGAACCATGAAGAGTGACAGATAACAAAATGTACTGTTATTTGTTATTGTTGTTACTGCTGTTATGTTCCTAAAAGTTGGCTTCAACTTACAACAACCTCACCAGAGGGTTTCCTTAGCATGTTTTATTTCAATTGGGCTTTGGCATTGCCTCCCCTTGAGGCTGAAGAAGCACAAGTGATCAAAGATCACTCAGGAGGCTTCTCTGGCTGGGAAGGGATTTGAAACTGGTTTCCCAGACTCCCAGCAAAACAGTCAAGCCTGCTGCCCTGCCACTTCTGCTCTAAATAACATTTTATTAACTAAACAGGCACAAGAGGGACTGCAGCTGAAAGGCACTTTCTTGGACACAGCTGGCAAAAGCTCACATTACCTGAGGAATCTGGCTCATGTGGTGCAGGAGAGCAGCATCTGGAACAGGCAGAAACAAGGAACTGTTCAATGAATTCAAGAGGCTGCCTGGTGTCGGTGAGGAGCACAGTTTGTCAAACACAGCCAAGTCCTATGAAAACAACAGTACTTTACACACGGTAGAATAATCAAGCAAGATGAATGCTCCCCACCCTCCAGCTGCCAAAAGAAATAACAATCATGCTGGAAAATACAATAATCTGTATAAATAAAAATGTAATGTTCGTTTGTGGGATTAACATAACTCAAAAACCACTGGACGAATTGACACCAAATTTGGACAGCATACACCTAACAACCCAATGTATGTCCTTCACTCCAAAAAAATTGATTTTGTCATTTGGGAGTTGTTTTTGAATATCGTGGATTTTAACAAACCAGAGTGTGTATCAAAAAAGTTCAACAATGGATGTCAGAAACATTGCAAGGTCTGGAGTATTACAGGTGAACTAAAACAGTTACCCGCACTCTTACCGAACACTCAGGTATGATGAGCTGATACATATGGTCAGGGTGAAGGAATGTGAACCACCGGAGTGATTTCCGCTGGAACAACAGCAACACCTAAAAAGTGAATTGAGAGGGCAATAACAAAGGAAAGTCCATTTCTATAGTAAGTGTTAAAGACAAAGCATGATCAGCATAAATCACCACCTGACATCCCCTGGGAAGTTGCAGCGAAAGGACCAAGGCAGAGACATCTCCAGAGACATCGTGGACACAGATACTAAAAGACAAGGGAGTTACGGATGGATGGGAATTTCTCAAGAGTGAAATACTCAAGGCGCAATTGCAAACCGTGCCAACAAAGAGAAAAAATAGGACAAGTGCAAAGAAGCCAGAATGGATGTCCAAAGAACTTCTAACTGTGCTAAGACACAAAAGAGACATGCACAAGAAGTGGAAAAAGGGAGAAATCACCAAAGAAGAATTCAAACAAATAGACAACACCTGTAGGGAAAAGGTCCGCAAGGCTAAAGCAAAAAACGAGCTCAGACTTGCCAGGGACATTAAAAACAATAAAAAGGGCTTCTATTCTTATGTCAGTAGAAAAAGGAAAAACAAGGAGGCGATAGGACCTCTTCGAGGAGAAGATGGGGCAATGCTGACAGGGGATAGGGAAAAGGCAGAACTACTTAATGCCTTCTTTGCCTCGGTCTTCTCACAAAAAGAGAGTCTTCAACCTCAGCAAGATGGAGTGGATGAGGGATTGGAGGACATCCAACCCCAAATTGGGAAAGAAGTCGTCCAGGAATACTTGGCCGCTCTTAATGAGTTCAAGTCCCCAGGGCCAGATCAACTACACCCCAGAGTATTGAAGGAACTAGCGGAAGTCATTTCGGAACCATTGGCAACCATCTTTGAGAGTTCTTGGAGAACGGGAGAAGTTCCAGCAGATTGGAGGAGGGCCAATGTGGTCCCAATCTTCAAGAAGGGAAAAAAGGATGACCCAAACAACTACCGTCCGGTCAGCCTCACGTCGATACCGGGCAAGATTCTGGAAAAGATTGTTAAGGAAGCGGTCTGCAAACACTTAGAAACAAATGCAGTCATCGCTAACAGTCAACATGGATTTATCAAAAACAAGTCATGCCAGACTAATCTGATCTCGTTCTTCGATAGAGCTACAAGCTGGGTAGATGCGGGGAATGCCGTGGATGTAGCGTACCTGGATTTCAGTAAGGCCTTTGACAAGGTCCCCCATGACCTTCTGGCAAGGAAACTAGTCCAATGTGGGCTAGGCAAAACTACGGTGAGGTGGATCTGTAATTGGTTAAGTGGACGAACCCAGAGGGTGCTCACCAATGCTTCCTCTTCATCTTGGAAAGAAGTGACAAGTGGAGTGCCGCAGGGTTCCGTCCTGGGCCCGTCCTGTTCAACATCTTTATTAATGACTTAGACGAAGGGCTAGAAAGCATGATCATCAAGTTTGCAGACGACACCAAATTGGGAGGGATAGCCAATAAGCCAGAGGACAGGAGCAGGACTCAAAACGATCTTGACAGATTAGAGAGATGGGCCAAAACTAACAAAATGAAGTTCAACAGTGACAAATGCAAGATACTCCACTTTGGCAGAAAAAATGAAATGCAAAGATACAGAATGGGGGACAATGCCTGGCTTGAGAGCAGTACGTGTGAAAAAGATCTTGGAGTCCTCGTGGACAACAAGTTAAACATGAGCCAACAATGTGATGTGGCGGAAAAAAAAGCCAATGGGATTTTGGCCTGCATCAATAGGAGCATAGTGTCTAGATCTAAGGAAGTAATGCTACCCCTCTATTCTGCTTTGGTTAGACCACATCTGGAATATTGTGTCCAATTCTGGGCACCACAATTCAAGAGAGATATTGACAAGCTGGAATGTGTCTATCCTAAAATGATCAAGGGTCTGGAGAACAAGCCCTATGAGGAATGGCTTAAGGAGCTGGGCATGTTTAGCCTGAAGAAGAGAAGGCTGAGAGGAGATATGATAGCCATGTATAAATATGTGAGAGGAAGCCACAGGGAGGAGGGAGCAAGCTTGTTTTCTGCTTCCTTGGAGACTAGGACACGGAACAATGGCTTCAAACCATACAAGAGAGGAGATTCCATCTGAACATGAGGAAGAACTTCCTGACTGTGAGAGCCGTTCAGCAGTGGAACTCTCTGCCCCGGAGTGTGGTGGAGGCTCCTTCTTTGGAAGCTTTTAAGCAGAGGCTGAGATGGCCATTTGTCAGGGGTGATTTGAATGCAATATTCCTGCTTCTTGGCAGGGGGTTGGACTGGATGGCCCATGAGGTCTCTTCCAACTCTTTGATTCTATGATTCTATGATAGTATCAGTAAATTTAGCATTGACACATTATATCCCCCAACTGTCTTGATTTGGCATGAGCACTCGCTGGAACACCTCAGCAAGCGAGAGTCCAAAAGTGGCAGGCTCAAACCCAGAGCCTCAATCCGTGGGTGATACCAGATGAGAGACTCCCCCCTGGGCACACAGAAGACTGGGCGACTTGGAAGGCGCTGAACAGACTGCGCTCTGGCACCACGAGATGCAGAGCCAATCTTAAGAAATGGGGCTACAAAGTTGAATCCACGACATGCGAGTGTGGAGAAGAGCAAACCACTGACCACCTACTGCAATGCAACCTGAGCCCTGCCACATGCACGATGGAGGACCTTCTTGCGGCAACACCAGAGGCACTCCAAGTGGCCAGATACTGGTCAAAGGACATTTAATCAGCTACCAAGTTTGCAAAATTTGTTTTTTTTATCTGTTTGTTTGTTTTGTTCTGTTAGAAATGTAATACAATGTTCTGGTTGCGGATGACACGATAAATAAATAGCATAAATCAAAACAGTTCAATGACATTAGCCGCGAGACAGGGTGAGCTCACGTATGTCAGCTCCAGCTTCCCATGCAGGAACAAGAGAGAAGCCTCCCACAGGATGATAACATATCCGGGCATCCCCTGGGCAACGTCCTTGCAGACGGCCAATTCTCTTACACCAGAAGCAACTTGCAGTTTCTCAAGTCGCTCCTGACATGAAAAAAAAAGCCTTTTATACACAGAAACTGGCTACAGAAGCACACAAAGGAGGAGCAATGCAAAAAGGTGCCAGGTGTCTTGAGAGCCACTCCAAACTCTTTCCCGTCTTCTGGAGCGCTGGCAATAAACCAACAAATGGACTGGATTTTGCCCCGAAATTGCCACTTCCCCTCTATTACTGTGCCCATCCTTACATTTGTATGACCTTTATTGGTCCTTTCAACAGCAGAGATTGTATGGTCCACATTTTCTACCAGACTCTTGCACAGCTCAGGTTTGCTCATCCATTGCACTATGACCTGAAAGCAGAGTGGTGCTGCTTGACCATCCTCTCTGTTGCCTTCCGACCTGGGCAGATAGTTGCGCCGTGAAAGCCCCTCTTTTTGAGTCACCAGAAATAGACGGGACACATAGCTACTATCCACAGACGGTTCCAGCATACTGGCTTCTGGTTTTGTCCTCTCTGTATTTAATACATCTGAGGATCTGTGCTCAGCTGCTGAGGTGTCATTGTCCTTCTCCCCAGAAAAGGTGTTTCCCTTGATGGTGGGGCTCTCGGCATTTCTATTCTCAAGGAGTGTGGAGCCCCTTGGAACTCCCTTTTCAGGAGTATGAATGATTTTTGCATCTTCAAAAAAGAATTGAACATAAATCCTAGAAGGAAAAAAAAGGACAGAAAAATATTATGAGCAAAGCTCTAGACCACAGCTTTCTAAACTGTGAGCTGTGGCACATTAGTGTGTCAGTTGCAGTGTGTAGGTGTGCTGCAAGAACTTAAAGAGAAACTGGGTTGTTGTAGGTTTTTTTCGGGCTATATGGTCATGTTCTAGAGTAGTGGTTCTCATCCTGTGGATCCCCAGATGTTTTGGCCTTCAACTCCCAGAAATCCTAACAGCTGGTAAACTGGCTGGGAATTCTGGGAGTTGTAGGCCAAAACACCTGGGGACCCACAGGTTGAGAACCAGTGTTCTAGAGGCATTCTCTCCTGACGTCTCACCTGCATCTATGGCAAGCATCCTCAGAGGTAGTGAGGATGCTTGCCATAGATGCAGGCAAAACGTCAGGAGAGAATGCCTCTAGAACATGGCCATATGGCCCAAAAAAACCTACAACAACCCAGTGATTCCGACCATAAAAGCCTCAACAATACATTAAAGAGAAACCTCTGAGTCCATGTAAATTAAGCAAAAAGAAAAAATAAAGGTATAAATGATAGGTTTTCATTAGATATGTTGTGTCCCCATACATTCCATTATTATGTGTATTAATATTGTTTCGTTGTGCTTTCGACCTACCACTCCTATGACAAATGGCCTGTATTAAAACTTGAATTGCCATTCAATATGATGTCCTATATTATATTAACTGATCCTGCAAATTTGCTCAGTTTCCATTATTTTTCCTTAATACATTGTCATCTACCTTACTAAACCACTTTATGCTTTAACTAGTTCACGTAGTGGTTTTCCTCCCCGCTCCAAAATTAGTCTGCCGTTATTGTTGTTGCTAGCTATTTTTGTTTTATGCTGTTTTATGCTGTTTCAATTGTTATTGCTTTATTTTAATTGTATTCTGCCTGGGCTTGGGCCCCATGTAAGCCGCCCCGAATCCCTTTGGGGAGATGGAGGCGGGGTAGAAAAATAAACTACTACTACTACTACTTCCTCCTTCTCCTCCTCTTCTTCCTCTTCCTCTCCCTCTTCTTCTTCTGTGTATGTGTATCTTTAGAATTCCAGCAAGCATTCCAAATTAGGCTCTGAGTTTTCTTCACTGGAAAAGCTTTGACTCATTATGTTTTGAGGCTTTGCCGTTGTTCCCAACTTTTCTGGAAATTAGAAAAAGGAAACTTGCCTTGGTTTCTTGTTCTTTACATGCTTGGGTGTCTCCAGCTGCTGACACGAAGAAACGCTGCATTGACAAAATTGCTCCATTATAAGCTGAAATATTTCAACCTGCAGCAGGCACCCTAGAATTACAAGAAAAGGGAGAGGGGAGAAAGACCACATCACCAATTAAACAAAGCTGACTGAAAAGCTATTAACTACAGGAGGATGCTTCAAGATCTTTTCATCAACCTTCCCTCGATTTGTGTAGTAAATCTATTGATACTTGTCATATTTAGCTCTATCCCTGCCCCCCCCCCCCACCAACACTTCAATTATTTTTTGATTAATTTTCCTGAAAAGGGATTTTAGACCAGAAACTGGTATTCTTTGGGGGGAAGAACATGTTTGTCTCCCTGTAACTAATTATTCAAATGCTCATTTGTAAACCCATAGAGATGGGTCATTTGAACGTGCAGAGATCTATAAGTTTCTAGAGCTGTGTTTTGGCTGTAAACTCATCCCCTCAGCCTCATGCATCTAAAAAGCATGTTCCCATAAAACTCAGTTCTGACTTTGCCATCAGGAGACCTCAAAGAAAGGTTGGGTTGTGTGAGTGATCACTTGAAGAAACACAATATAGGTAGATAACCTGTTCTTCTTCTTTGCAGTCTCTCTAATTCACATATATGGGATTTATTTCGTACCAAAAGCATTGCATAAATTCGTATAAAACTGATAAAATAGAAGGTGTGCAGGCGGATAAATATCTTTTGACCAAAAACGGGCAACAGCAACGGCATTGTCTGTAGCCTCCAACAATTCTTCCTTTGTACATGAGGCAGGGCACAATGGACAAGACTGCTCCACAGTCACACAAGGTGTGGGATTCTTTTAGGTAGTGCCATTTTGCCAGGTTGTCTTTTGATCTGCCCACTCCACTTCTGAGTCTGTTCAGGGACTTCCAGGTTGCCCATTCTTGGTTTTCCCCTGGAGGAAGACCCTCGTGGGGGGCCATCTAGTTGGGATTTCCTGGTTTAGCTGCCCAGAGGGATACCCTTGCTGTTGCTGGGGAGTGGTAGTTCTTATAAAGAGGAGTGGTAGTTCTTATAAAGCTTTTCCTTGATTTGAGTCTACTGGGAGGAGGCTGGTAGCCATGTAGTGGGTGGCCTTCACAGTGTTCAACCTCATTTCTCTCACATTTAGCAGCACATCAGGGGGTCAATGCCAGCTAGCTTGTAGGGTTTATCAACAGGTGTAGGTTTAAGACACCCTGTGATTATTCTGCATGTTTCGTTCAATGCTATGTTCACCCGCTCTGCATTGGCAGACCTATGCCAAACAGGGCAGGCATACTCGGCAGTTGAGTAAAACAAGGCTAAGGCTGATGTTCCTAATAATTTTGGGTCTGCACCCCATGTGCTGCCAATAAGTTTTTGCAGGATGTTATTGCATGCAGCTACTTTGTGCTTGAACACCAAGCAGTGTTTCCTATATGTTAGTGTTCAATCTGACACCAAGATATTCAGGATGGAAACAATGTTCAAGCTCTTGACCTTCCCAGGTGACTTTCAATTTCCTGTTGGCTTCACGATTGCGTAGGTGGAAAGCACACACTTATGTCTTGGCAGGGTTAGGCTTCAAGTGGTTATCTTTGTAGTAGCTGGAGAGATCTTTCAAGGCATTAGTAAGTTGGATTTCAACTATTTCAGTCTTTTGCTTGTGTTGTTAGGCCAAGGTCATCTGGCCATCTGGTGAACCCAGCGAAGACGGAGATCCTTTGGCTGGGCCGTCCGGGTGAGAGGGAGATCCAGCTGCCTACCCTGGATGGCGAGACACTACGTCCGTCACCTTCTGTAAAAAGTCTTGGTGTCTTATTGGACCCTCTGCTCACAATGGAGGCCCAGGTCTCTGCTGTGAGCAGATCTGCGTTTTTCCACCTACGTCAGGCTAGGCGACTGGCTCCCTACCTATCTAGGAACGACCTGGCTATGGTGATCCAGGCGACGGTCATCTCGAGGCTTGACTACTGTAACGCACTCTACATTGGACTTCCTTTGTCAGTGATTCGGAAACTGAAGCTGGTGCAAAATGCGGCGGCTCGTCTTCTCACCGGGGTGCCGGCGAGGTGTCGTATCACCCCAATTCTACAACAGCTGCACTGGCTACTGATTGAGTACCGGATTACTTTCAAGGTGCTGGTATTAACCTTTAAGGCCTTATATGGTCTGGGGCCGGTGTACCTGAGGGCCCGCTTATCCCCCTACCAACCCCAGAGATTACTTCGGTCCAAAGACCAAAATTTGCTTGAAGTCCCCAACATCCAGACTTATCATCTGTCCTCTACTAGGCAGAGAGCCTTCTCGATTGTAGCCCCTTATTTATGGAATGCCTTGCCAGTTGAAACCCGAACTATCCGAGACCTACTTGCTTTTCGGAAAGCCTGTAAAACCTTTCTCTTCCGACAAGCTTTCGATGGGTGAATAACTCGGGACTATGTCTGTTCTTGCTTTATTGTATTTTAAAGTTAATTGTATTGTTTTAATCTACTGCTGTAAACCGCTCAGAGCCAAATTGGGGGTAGCGGTATACAAGTCAAATAAATAAATAAATAAATAAATAAAGCTCTTTGTGAGTGGTGGTTGTGGCTGATGGTTTGTAAAGATATTAAACAAGTTTGGTGCATGAATGCTGCCTTGGGGTAAACCATTCTTTTGCCTCCTCCATCTACTTTTCCTGCCCTGAAACTCCACATAGAAAGCTAGGTTTTCTAGGAGAGTCTGGATAGTTTTTGTGAAATCATAGTCTCGGGTAATATAGTACATAAGTACCTCACACAGCCTAGACACCTCTTGAAGAGAGTCATCAGGGTCTTAGATCCCCAGAGAGTGAAAAGACCGCTAGGACTTCCTAACAATCCACCACAACAGAAGGTGAAAATGGGTTCTGGTAGAATGCATGGCTTGTAGGCATGCAGGCTGGGGGAGTTGTTCCAATAAAAATACAATTCTAAAAGCTTCTGAGGATTTATATAAAAGGGCAGATTGACTCCTATGTGTGAGTCACAGAGACCACAAAAAAGAAAATGTAACTTCAGGATACAACCATGTCGATGCTCTGCATTTGTGACTGTACTTTTTCTAGGATTAAGTAGAGTCCGAGAAAGAAGGCAGAAAAAAGTTAATGGTTCCAAGCAGCCTATTTTTCTTATTTTGTTTACCTGTGGCCTTTTCCTGTTACCATTGCTTGCCACTGCCTTTTAATTGGTATCAGTAGTATTCTGTCCATCATGTAATATACATGTATATTCCTAATATACATTGGTTATTTACTGTTATAACAAGTCCTCGCCTTACTTTTCCCTAAACTACAGAATCAGATCTCATGGAACAAACCTATCAGAGATGTTTCTGCAAATGGTCGGCCATCTTTGTGGAATATTACACAAGGAAGTGTTTTACGTTTGTCTTGTAAGTTGAGGTATCCTCTTCTGGAGCACTTCAGCATGCCAAGCAAAACCTACTCAATAAAGAAGAGTGGAAGGAGAAAGTAAAGAACACTGGCATGAATCATACGAAATCTGATCATATGAAAGCTGACTGGCACAACCCGGGGATTACAACCAGACACAGCGAAGACATCTGCCCTTGCTCTATGCTACTCTGCTGCTGAGTATGCATGTTCAGTGTGGAACACATCTCACCACGCTAAAACAGTGGACGTGGCTCTTAATGAGACATGCTGCATTATCACGGGGTGTCTGCGCCCTACACCACTGGAGAAATTCACTGCTTAGCCGGTATTTGCACCACCTGACATCCGCCGGGAAGTAGCAGCCAATAGGCAGTGACATCTCCAGCTCATCCCTTGTTTGGGTATCAGCCAGCACGTCAACGACTTAAATCAAGAAATAGTTCTCTAAGATCTACAGAGACACTCAAGTTCAAAAGTGGCAGGCCCAAACCCAGCACCTCAATCCGTGGGTGATATCAGATGAGAGACTCCCCTCCTGGGCACACAGAAGACTGGGCGACTTGGAAGGCGCTGAACAGACTGCGCTCTGGCACCACGAGATGCAGAGCCAACCTTAGAAATGGGGCTACAAAGTGGAGACCACGACATGCGAGTGCGGAGAAGAGCAAACTACAGACCATCTGCTGCAATGCAATGCAATCTCCATGCACAATGGAGGACCTTCTTGCAGCAACATCAGAGGCACTCCAAGTGGCCAGCTACTGGTCAAAGGACATTTGTGTTTTGTTTGTTTGTTTGTTTTGTTAAAAATGTAATACAACTGTCTGGTTGCTCCTGACACGATAAATAAAAGAAATAAACTAGCATGAAACAACACAAATACACAATGATTAATAGATGGCACTTTATCCACTATAAGAAAAGACTCCCACATATTTTGCAGAGACAGCTCTATAAAGAAATGTAGTCAAATGTACAGGCTTCCATATCCTAAAGACACGGAAGATCATTTTGCCTTGTAGCCTTTTGGAATTAGTTTAGCACTTACCATGCGAGGGTGAAAGCTCTCAGCAGATAAACTGCAACAGGACCAGTCCAATCTATCATTCAATTCCTGGGTGTTGTGGTGCTCTGAGGTTGAACTTTGTTGATGCAAGGGACTGAAGCTCTCCTGATAATGCTTCTCAATCATAGGATACAACATGGAAAAAGGTGGAATCTGACATGGTGGCTCCAGGGACTGATTCTAGGAAAGAGTGCAAAACATTTAATCACGAAACTTAGGGGATGTGTCATAAGGGCACTACAGTATTCCCTCGCTACTTCGCAGTTCACATACCGCAGACTCGCTATTTCTATCTGTTTGAATATATATATATATATATATATATATATATATATATATCCCACGAAACAGCGAGTCTGCAGTAAGTGAACTGCGAAGTAGCGAGGGAATACTGTAGTGCCCTTATGACACATCCCCTAAGTTTCGTGATTAAATGTTTTTTTGTGTAATGTAATGTTCATTTGTGGGATTAACAGAACTCAAAAACCACTGGACGAATTGACACCAAATTTGGACACAAGACATCTAACAACCCAATGTATGTCCTTCACTCAAAAAAAAAATAGATTTTGTCATTTGGGAGTTGTAGTTGCTGGGATTTATAGTTCACCTACAATCAAAGAGCATTCTGAACCACCAACGATGGAATTGAACCAAACATGGCATACAGGACTCCCAAGACAAACAGAAAATACTGGAAGGGTTTGGTGGACTGTGTCCTTTGGTTTTGGAGTTGTAGTTCACCTACATCCAGAGAGCAGCATGGACTCAAACAATGATGGATCTGGGCCAAACTCTACACGAAAACCAATATGCCCAAATGTGAACACTGGTGGAGTTTGGGGAAAATAGAATCTTGACATTTGGGAGTTGTAGTTGCTGGGATTTATAGTTCACCTACAATCACAGAGCATTCTGAACCCCACCAACGATAGAATTGGACCAAACCTCCCACACAGAACCCCCATGTGGGCCACAGCAACACGTGGCAGGGGACAGCTAGTATATAATAAAAATTAAATAAACTTGTGTATTTATCATGTCTGACTCTGGGGTGGTGCTCATCTCCATTTCTAAGCTAAGAGCCAGTTGTCCATAGACACCTCCAAGGTCATGTGGCCGGCATGACTGCATGGAGCGCCGTTACCTTCCCGCCGGAGCGGTACCTATTGATCTACTCACATTTGCATGTTTTCGAACTGCTAGGTTGGCAGAAGCTAGGGCTGACAGCGGAAGCTCACGCCACTCCCCGGAATCGAACCTGCGACCTTTCGGTCAACAAGCTCAGCAGCTCAGCGCTTTAACCCACTGCGCCACCGGGGGCTCCATGTGAGGAGGAGGAAGGTATAGAGGGTGAGGGGGCGACTCTTCTCTCCTTGCTACGTTTATATATATAAGAGGGTGAGGGGGCGACTCTTCTTCTCTCCTTGCTCTCTCTCTCTCTCTCTATATATATATATATACACACACACACACACACACACACACACGTAGCAAGGAGGGAAGAAGAGTCGCCCCCTTGCCCTCTTTACCTTCCTCCTCCTCCTCCTCCTCCTCACCGCCTGGAACTCTTGACACTGCTTGGGCCGCGCGCCACCTCTGCAAGAGGCCCCGGTGGCAATGAGGAAGAGGAAGGTAAAGAGGGCAAGGGGGCAGCTCTTCTTCTCGCCCTCTTTACCTTCTTCTTCCTCCTCCTCGCTGTCGCCAGGGCCTCTTGCTACCGCTTGCCAGCAAGAGGCCCCGGAAGCAGCAAGGAAAAGGAAGGTAAAGGGGGTGAGGGGGAAGCTCTTCTTCCCTTCCCACCCACTTATCCTTCCTTTTCCTCCTCCTCGCTGCCGCCTGGGCCCCACGGCACCTTTGCCGCCACCTCTATCACAGGGCCCAAGCAGGAGGCCCAGGCGGCGATGAGGAAGAGGAAGGTAAAGAGGACGAGGAGGGAATGTGCCTTCAGTGATTGAATGTAAGATTCTCCCTGATCACACTTTGCACAAAATGTCCTTTATGATTTGTGCAATGAAATCCTCCCCCATTCCCGGATCCGCCTCCTTATAATTTACACTGTCCTATCTCTCAGTGTTTTAACATTTTTAATTTAGCATCCTGCCTAGTGAAATTTCCTGTGTTTTTAATGCTTGATTTTATATTGTTGTGTCGTATATTATATTGCTTTTGCATTTTATGTATTTTGTTTGGTTCTACTATGTTTTTGTGTTATATTGTTTGTATTGTATCGATGGGCGTGGCCTCATGTAAGCCACACCTTGAGGGAGATGGAGCGGGGTATAAATCAAGTTTTTTTATTATTATTATTATTATTATTATTATTATTATTATTATTAAGGGGAGGGGGCCTCCCTACTTCACGGTTTTTCACTTATTGCGGGTGGTCCTGGAACATAACCCCTGGGATAAGTGAGAGAACACTATACCTGTTCTATGGGACAGGGGTGCGGTTCTGCCAGAATCTCAAGGTGCACATTTCTTTCTTGCTTCCTGGATAGCACCAAACACTCCAGAACAGGACCAATAAACTTCTCTGCTGCACTTTGAGCTTGCTGGAAAGGAATGAAACAACCGAACCTGGAAAGAATTATGAAAGCCTCAGTAACTTCAGTATTAAAGCAACAATTTAAAGAAAAAGGTGAAGAAATGTTTGGAGGGAAGGGGAAAGTGTAAAAAAATGAACAAGCAAATTGAGACAATATAAGAAAACCATGGACAAGTACGAAAAACTCAATCTGAAACAACCTAGGCTGTTAGACAGGTGTCAAACTCATTTTCATCAAGGGCCACATCAGCCTTATGGTTGTATTCATGTATGGGGAATCCATGAATATAATTGCTTTATATAGTGGCCGGTGCCCTTTAATTTTTACCCAGTTTGAGTCTCTAGATGTTATTGAACGTCAACTCCTCTCACTTTTGATTATCTGCCATGCAGACTGGGGATAATGGGAATTGCAATCTAACAGCGCTTGATGCTCCGAGGTTGGCAAATGGGTAAAGGACCTTTATAAAGTCAGACATCCTATTTATTATTATTATTTACTATATTTGTATACCGCTCTTCTCAGCCCTCGGGCGACTCAGAGCGGTTCACAATAGCAAAATTCAATGTTTAAAACATCCTAAAAAAGTTAAAAACAATTAAAACAATATTATATTATATTATAACAATAAATTAAACATCATACAACATCTCATATTGTCTCATAGTTAAAATCAAGATCCAGTCTCATCATCCAATTGTTCCATATTCCAATATTCGTTACACTGCCTATTCAAATGCCTGCTCGAACAACCAGTCTTCACTTTCCTCCAAAATGCTAACAAGGAGGGGGCCGATCTAATTTCTGTAGGAAGGGTATTCCACAGCCGAGGGGCCACCATTGAGAAGGTCCTGTCTCTCGTCCACGCTAAACGTACTTGTGATGCAGGCGGGAACGAGAGCAGGGCCTCCCCAGATGATCTTAACATCCTAGCTGGTTCATAGGAGGCTGTGGCGAGGGAGGGAGACTATTTCCTTATTAAAAACCTCTTTGCTGTCTTATACTAATTCAGTTTCTTCTTTTATATTGGCTGGGACTTTCTGTGTGCTGATAAACCTTTGTGCTTCATGTCACAGGCAATGAAACACTCTTGTACATAACGAAGTAACACAGTTTATTTATAACTTCTGGCTTCAACGCTTGTGGTTACATTTGTGTTTTGTTGCAATCTTGAGGCTTACAGTCAGTATCATTTACTTGGTTAACTTTTCTGAATAAACTATCAATGTTTCACATTCACAAACATGTTACTTGCTTTACACACTCTTGGCTGAATTATATTCTGAACTAAGGCAACACTAGCCTTCTTTATGTTCCTTAAAACTCTAGCTCTATTTAACTAACTGCTTCTCTATATCAGAAGCCTTTAACACATCTTCATAACTGCTTATTTCTCACAGGTACTCACACACAGGTTCCTAACTGTCATTTTCAAACTCTCTCACTCTAACTGCCTCTTTCAGAACCTTGGCTCAGCCCTCTCTCTCCAACTGTCATTTTGGCCTAGCAGCCTTTTCAAATCCTGGGCCTACACTAATCTGCATATGACCAATCGGCTTCACATATGCAAATGAATCCTATCTCTGCTGTTGCTACCCTGTCTGTGCCTATTCTTCCCTATCTGCCATATGTAAACATAGAGCTATACACCAAAACTTTAACATAGAGTAGCAATTTCACTACAGAGGCCTATCCACAATGCTTGTATCTACATTTAAATTTCGTGATCCAGAACAAATTGCAGCTTTCCAGATGTTACTGTATTACAACTCCAATTAGCTCTAGTCATGATGTCTAATGATAAGGAATATAGGAGTTGTAGTCCAGCATACGGAGGGCCACAGAAAATTGTAGTATGGGCCAGATTCAGCCCACGGGCTTCGAGTTTGACATATATGCTCTAAGTTTGGCCCCCAATTTATCCACAGGTCATGTGACAATCCGTAATTTTGGACCCCAAAATCTGCCCTCGAATTATACATGATGCCAACTTATACATTGAGTAGAATCATAGAATCATAGAGTTGGAAGAGACCTCATGGGCCATCCAGTCCAACCCCCGGCCAAGAAGCAGGAATATATCGTAATCTTCTTTCTCAAAAGACAGACACTTTTATAAAAGGATAAAGAAAACATAAACACCAGCTCCCTAAATAAGTTCAAAGCTAACATAGCTTTATATTGCTATTTGCCACCAATTCAAAAAACACTCACCTCTGCTGAAACGTCTCTAACAAGCTGACTAGCCACAGATAATATGGCAGGCTTAGATTATAACGCAAGAGCAGTTGAATATACAAATTTCCAAAGGAAGTAATGGGCTGATGTAAAGTACTGTATGCCGAAAAACTCTTTAGCACAACAGTGCTGTGCAAACAAGCGCCAAGAATGGACGGGGAAGTAGCCACAGCATTCTGAACAAGGTGGATGCCTTGAAGCTGATACACAAAACAAAAGGATTAGCATGAAGGAAACCCAGAATTTTTAAACATTACTACAATTTCCATACAGAAACCTATAGCCCACCAATTAACTTGGGATCCTCTGTGGTTTCAGAGTCTCCCAGACAATGGTACGGGCAACAAAAGATACACTCCCATATTGGAAGACAAGAATCTCTTGTGCTTAATTGGATGACAATTAGAATAATAGAATCATAGAGTTGGAAGAGACCTCATGGGACATCCAGTCCAACCCGCTGCCAAGAAGCAGGAAAATTGTATTCAAAGCACCCCCCGACAGATGGCCATCCAGCCTCTTTTTAAAAGCTTCCAAAGAAGGAGCCTCCATCACACTCCGGGGCAGAGAGTTCCACTGCTGAATGGCTCTCACAGTTAGGAAGTTCTTCCTCATGTTAAGATGGAATCTCCTTTCTTGTAGTTTGAAACCATTGTTCCACTTACTAGTCTCCAGGAAAGCAGAAAACAAACTTGCTCCCTCCTCCCTATAACTATGCTAGGTGCCACCACCTCCTGAAACAAGACAATCTGCTTTCACTTAGTATTTATTCACAAATATTCAGAATTCCATTTCTCCTCATGTTACCTCTATGCAAGCTCCCGGCCGGAGTCCACGTCCACAATTCAACAACTGCTGATAAGCCAGGCAGAGAATGAACTTGCTATCCAGTTCAATAAGGCCAGCTTGGGCATTAAGCACACGGGTAATTATGCCCTAAAAAGGAACACAATAAGGCAGTATTAGACAAACTCTGACCCAGTATTACCAGTATTAAAAAAAACCTCTAAAATTACAACAGCAAAACAACAGAGGGGAAACAATCAGGCACATCTAATTAGGCACTGCCAGGCCATCAAATGCTAATCAAGGTGATCAGTTGAAACATTCACACCTAGCTCCAACAGACAAGAGTTCTTTGTCCCACCCTGGTCATTCCACAGATATATAAACCCATTTTCCTAGTTCCAATAGACCTCACTACCTCTGAGGATGCTTGCCATAGATGCAGGCAAAATGTCAGGAGAAAATGCCTCTAGAACATGGCCATATAGACAGAAAAACCTACAGCAATCTCTGATCCGCTTGGGAGACATCCAAAAACTCTTCTGAAAAGGTCAAGAATCTCTAGGGACAGAAACTATGCTTACAATTATGTTTAGTGTGAGAAAAATAACTTACGGTGTAGGACATCATCCTGGACTTCATACAAGGAACTGCTATCTTCTCTTTCTCTTTTACCTCCAACATTGTATTTGGCTGCACAGAGGACATGGAAGAAATAGACACAACTAGATCTCTCTCTGTAGCATTGTCCAGAAATTGCTCCGTCACCTGTTCCACACAATACAGCCGAAGATTTGAGGAAGAGCTAGTAATGAATACATTTATCTTGGAAGCTTTCAGGCAAGATATCTTCAAATCAGTTAGGATGTATCTATGACCCAGCTGCAATGCATGACGCCAAACTAAATGGGGAGCCTTCTAGAACAGAAAAATAAGAAAGTATGTCAGAATTCAGCACACACAGGGCAAATATTCCTTTATCAAGGACTGAATCTAGAGATTTCTGTTTGGACCAGAAACTTGTTAGTCATTCCCTGTGAGTTATCAACTACAGGAGGAGATACTTTGCATGCCGACCACCAGTTAAAGTAGCTTTGACTGGCGAAGTGTGCACCTTGGATTAAAGGGAGCCCAGGGATCACCTACAACAAGGTACAAACTCCAGGCATGCAAATTGCCACATTTTGGGGAGTGATCACGGTTGGCCAGAAGACCAAAGCTCCCAGAGTGCCACACTGCCCTTAAATGGACAAAATGATCACAAAGCCAGATTCTCATTCTAAAAGAATAAAAACTTTGGATTTTGTATTGTCAAAGGCTTTCCTCAGACCTCACTACCTCTGAGGATGCTTGCCATAGATGCAGGCGAAACGTCAGGAGAAAAATTGCCTCCAGAACATGGCCATATAGCCCGGAAAAACCTACAACAACCCAACTTTGGACTTGTTTTAGAAAGAGGCTTCCTGGATAGAATAGTGAGTTTGGATCGTGTGACTTTAATGTTTTTATTGTGTGTTTTTTATTTTTATATTTCACTAGCTGTACCCGCCGCGCGTTGCTGTGGTCAACCTTCCCTCCCTCTTTCTTCCTTCTTTCTCCTCTCCTTCCTTTTCTTTCCCTTCTTCCTTTCTTCCTTCTTTCTTTTCTCTTCCTTCTCTTTTCCTCCTTCTTCTCTCCCTCTTTTTTTCTTCTCTCCTTCCTTTCCCTTTTCTTATTTCATTCTCTCTCTCTTCCTTCCTTCTCCCTCTTTCTTTCCTTCTTTATCTCCTTCCCTCCTTCTTTCCCTCTTTCTTCTCTTTCCCTCCTTCCTTCCCTACCCTTCTTTCTTTCCTTTTTTCCTTCCTCCTTTTCCCTCTTTCTCTCTCTCCCTTCCTTCCTTCCCTACCCTTCTCTTTCCTTCTTTTCTCCTCTCCCTTCCTTCTTTCCTCTTTCTCTCCTTCTCCCTTCCTCCTTCTCTACCTTTTTCCTTCCTTCTCTCCCTCTCTCCCTCCTTCCTTCTCTTCCTTTTTCTTTCCTTTTTTCTCTCCTTCCTCCTTCTTTCCCTTTCTCTCTCTCCTTCCTTCCTTCCCTACCCTTCTTTCTTTCCTTCTTTATCTCCTTCCCTCCTTCTTTCCCTCTTTCTCTCTCTCCCTTCCTTCCTTCCCTACCCTTCTTTCTTTCCTTCTTTATCTCCTTTCCCTCCCTTCCTTCTTTCCTTTCTCTCCTTCTCTCCTTCCTTCCTTCTCTACCCTTATTTTTCCTTCCTTCTCTCCCTTTCTCTCCCTCCTTCCTTCTCTATCCTTATTTCTTTCCTTTTTTCTCTCCTTCCCTCCTTCTTTCCCTTCTTCTCTCCCTCCTTCTCTCCTTCCTTCCTTCTCTACCCTTCTTTTTTTCCTTCCTTCACTCCTTCTCTCCCTCCTTCTCTCCTTCCTTCCTTCTTTCTGTACATGTTTTGTGTGTGTATATGCATATATGTGTGTGTATCTGTGCGTTTGTGTATATATATGTGGTTTTGTGCATGTGTTATAATGTTTTCTTTTGGTTTTTTGGCTTTTTAAATCCCTTCTGCTGTGTTTTTCAGTGTTTTATGAGTGATGGTCACTCACTGACCTGAGAGGTGCCTTGTGTCCAAATTTGGTGTCAATTCGTCCAGTGGTTTTTGAGTTCTGTTAATCCCACAAACGAATATTATATTTTTATTTATATAGATGTTTAAATGTCCTATTATTTTATGGTGAATTTGCCCTATTGTATTTTATGCTTAATCTTATGTTGTTTGATTTATGATTTGGTTTATGTATATTTTGAATTTTGCCCTTTTTTTTTTGTAAACTGCTTTCAGTCTCCCTGGGGTGAGAAAAGCAGTATATAAATACTGTAAATAAACTGTAACAGAAAGAAGCATGAGAAGGACATCTGTTTATCCTTTGCAATGCAATAAATGCATCCCACAGGACACCACTCTATCCCCAATAGTTTTTAGTATTTACACGAACCAGCTGGGAGAGATAATCCAGAGGCATGGGGCAGGGTGCTAGTAGTATGCTGATGACATCCAAATATATTTTCTCCATGTCTTAGGGAGCTCTAGCTCTAGCTGAGGATAGCCTACCTCTTCTGAACAAATGCCTGAAGGAAGTAATGGTTGGATGAGGAAAAACAACTTGAAATTGAATCCAGACAAGACAGAGGTGCTTGCCATCAAAAGTCCTAATCTGGGGGTGCAGGTATGTCAACCAGTTCTGGATCAGGCAACTCAACCCTGAAAGACTGTGTTCGCAGCTTCGGACAAGGGATCCTGGATTTGTCTCTCCAAATGTCAGCACAGGGAGGTGTAATGGTCAGAAGTGCTATTATGACATCCTTTCAACATTTATACATGGCTATCTGGTTTCCTCTCACCCTTCTCTTCTGCAGGCTAAACATCCCCAGCTCTTTAAGACGCTCCTCATAGGGACTCATGGTCTCCAGGCCTTTGATCATTTTAGTTGCCCTTTGGACACATTATTATAGTATAAGACTACCGCAGGATTAGTCTATGCACAGAAATGGAAGAATGATGCTAGTTCAACAAATGAGAACTGGTTGTTGAAATTGAATGACCTAGCTCAAATGGACAAAATATTAACACTGATGAGCAAAAAAGTCAGTGACTATATTTTGAAAAGACTAGGAATATTTGATTGTCTATTTGCTGGGGAGGAATTTTATATCTTAACTGTAGGTTTTGATATATATGGTTTAATGAAGCAGAAGCATATGAATAACAATGATATTCATTGTTAGGAAACTTAGAAACCAAATATCCATTCCTTTCTTTCTGTTCTTCACTTTTATTACTTTTTTCTTCCTTTCCATTCTTTCTGTTTGTATAGTGTTTCTTTTTCTGACTGTATTTTTATCATATATTTTTTAAAAAATAATAATTTAATCTAACAGTTTAACATATTCCAAGCTTCAATGTTAGGTGGGGGGGATCTTAGTAACTGAATTGGTTGTCCATCATCCCTAAGATAACTATATTAATTAAAATTACATTACAATAAATTGGTATCATAAGCTATGCATATATTTTATTGAAAACATTCATCTATATAAATAAAAATGTAATGTTCATTTGTGGGATTAACAGAACTCAAAAACCACTGGGGGAATTGCCGCCAAATTTGATCACAAGACACCTACGAACCCAAGGAGTGATCATCACTCAAAAAAATTGATTTTGTCATTTGAGAGTTGTAGTTGCTGGGATTCATAGTTTACTTAAAATCAAAGAGCATTCTGAACCCACCAACGATGAAATTGAACCAAACGTGGCACACAGGACTCCCACGACCAACAGAAAACACTAGAAGTTGTAGTTCACCTACATTCAGAGAGCACTGTGGACTCAAACTATGATGGATCTGGACCACACTTGGCACGAATATTCCATATGCCCAAATATGAACACAGATGGAGTTTGAAGGAAATAGACATTGACATTTGGGAATTGTAGTTAGTGGGATTTATTTATTTATTTATTTATTTACTTTGCTTATATACCGCTGTTCTCAGCCCAGGGGTGACTCACAGCGGTGTACAACATAGAAAGAACAAGGTGCAAATACAAGACAAGACTGTAAGTTCCCTTACAATCAAAGAGCATGCTGAGCTCCACAATGATGGAATTGAAACAAACGTGGTACACAGGACTCCCATGACCAAAAGAAAACACTAGAAGGGTTTGGTGGGCATTGACCTTGAGTTTGGGAGTTGTAGTTCACCTACATCCAGAGAGCCCTGTGGACTCAAACAATGAAGGATCTAGACCAAATCTGGCAAAAATCCTCCATATGCCCAAATATGAACACAGATGGAGTTTGGCAGAAATAGATCTTAACATTTGGGAGTTGTAGTTACTGGGATTGATAGTTCACCTACAATCAAAGAGCATGCTGAAGCCCACCAACGACAGATCTGGGGCAAACTTCCCACACAGAATGAACATACTTAAGGCCATCCAGTCCAACTCCCTTCGCCAGGGCAAGAAAACATAATCAAAGCCCTCCTGACAAAGAGCCATCAAGCCATAGATATAGATAGATATATATGATTCACACACACAGAGATATAGTATCATAGATTTGAAAGGGACCCCTAAAGAAAAACAATTGTATGTTCCAGAGTAGGCAAACCAGACAATGTCTACATCAACACTGACAAAGAAACAGCAAAAAATACTGTTTACCCACAAGCAGAAAGAAATTACATATATTAGAAACCAACACTTTCTCATTACTTTATTTTCTAGATCACCAGACTGGGCCACAGCAACGTGTGGCAGGAGATGGCTAGTATTTAATAAAAAAAGATATAACTCTCCTTTAGAATTGTTTTGTTGCATTAGTACACAGATCCAACAAGTGAACTGCTTCCTCAAACAACTTACTTGTACAAGTATTGGGACACAAGTGGCTGAATGAAAGCACTTCAGGAAGAGGAAGAAGAAAGCCTTGTGGTGCATGTAAAGAATATTGCTTAGTCTGAACAGTTCACCAGCCACATTCAACTTCACCAGCTGCTCACACCGGGGCCTAAAGAAAAGAAGACTCCTTGAAGATCAAACAAAACATCCATGTAAAGATAGGCTGCTAACTTGTAACTCAGCTTCTTTGAATGGTCATCTATAAATTCATTCAATTGGGTTTTGGCATTGGCCCAGTAGCTCTCTCCAAAGATTTCTACATCTTACTAAGCCATTTTGGGATTTTGGGCTGCATCAAAAGCATTTTGGGGAGTAGATGAAGGGAAGTCATGGTGCTTCTCTATTCTGCTTTGGTCAGACCTCACCTGGAATACAGTGTTCAGTTCTGGGCCCCACAATTCAAGAACATTGACAAGTTGGAAAGTGTCCAGAGATGGGTGATCAAAATGATAAAAGGCAGCCTGGAAACCAAGCTCCATGAGAAGAGGTTTAAAGAGCTGGGCATGTTTATCTTCCGGGCCCAATTCAAGGTGCAGATTATCACCTACAAAGCCCTAAACGGTTTGGGACCCGCCTACCTTCAGGACCGTATCTCTCTCCATGAACCAACCAGGGCCCTTCGATCTTCGGGGGAAGCCCTCCTTTCACCCCTGCCAATCTAACAGGCTCATCTTGTGGGTCCAAAGGAGAGAGCCTTCTCCTCTGTGGCCCCCCGACTCTGGAACTAATTACCTGGGGAGATCAGGAAAGCCCCTACACTAGAAACATTTAAAAAGAACCTTAAAACCTGGCTCTTCCGCTGCGCCTTTCGGGAGTAGGTGCACAACATGATACTATTGCTCCCCTCAACGTTTCTGTCACTGGAGTACACGCCCTCCAACTGGGAAGTTTAGTTTCACAACCCTGTGTATCTTTATAAGCTCCCTGCAAATAACTTGCTCCTATTTTTATCTCATTAGAGTTTTTAACATTTTATCCTGTATATGTGGCCCGCTCATTATAATAATAATAAACTTTATTTGTACCCCACTCCATCTTTTGGGGTTCCCACTAAAGATTATTCAGCTATAGTATGTTCCAGAGAAAGCTACTGCGCAAGCACCAACACCCAATTGTTGACATACAAAGGCCCTAAAAAAGAATATTCCGTGAATATTAAGAGCCAACATCTGGAAACTTTCAGGAACCAAAAAGGCATGAGACCAATAGCCCACCCAAATCGTTACTATTCCCAGTATTTAAATTCCAAGGTACAGTGCCTCAGAATATGTATTTCCACTTAGGTACAACGGCTAATAGCTTTGTTTCACTTCCATAAATGAGTCAAATCCATCTTCAGATAAGTGAAACAAAGGAAACAAAGTACCGTATATACTCGAGTATAAGCCGACCCAAATATAAGCCGAGGCACCAAATTGTATCACAAAAAACTGGGAAAACGTATTGATTTGAGTATAAGTCGAGGGTAGGAAATGCAGCAGCTACTGGTAAATTTCAAAATAAAAATAGATACAATACAATTACATTAATTGAGGCATCAGTAGGTTAAATGTTTTGAATATTTAAATAAAACTATAATTTAAGACTGTCCAACTCTGATTAAACCATTATTCTAACCTTCTTCAATGTAAATGTGCTTGCATATCCTTTCAATAAAAATAGAGTAAAATAATAAATGTAATATTACTACTAATAATAATAGAGTAAAATAATGGGAATGTAATAATAACAGTAATAATAGAGTAAAATAATAAATATAATAAAAACAATAATAAAGTAGAATGATCAATGTAACAACAACAACAACAACACATTTATTATGTATTTCTCACAGGGTAAAATAATAAATAACCTTGACTTGAATATAAGCCGAGCGGGACTTTTCCAGCCTAAAAAAAGGGCTGAAAAACTAGGCTTATACTCGAGTATATACAGTATAAATATTTTTAGTTTTACATTAATTGAAATGATGACACCAATACTAAAATTAAAGAATATCACAACTCTTACCTAGCATTGAGTAGTTGTACAGCTGATTCCGGATAGAAGACAGGGACAATATTAATGGTCTTCTCTGGGCCAGGTATAACTGGGATAGGATCCTCCAAAATTTCCACATATTGTTCTCTTTGGGGAATGAAGACCCAACTGGGAAACAGGAACAAACATCCCAGCCAATCAGGCTGAAAATGCAGGAGCTAAACCAAATGACAGAGAAGGTAAATAATTTGATGCACCCGATCTTTGAAATTGGGATTTCTACCTGTGTCTAAGGACTAAAATCTGATTCTTCTATCATCTACTAATGCATTGTATAAACGGCTTTCAGTGGTGCCCAACAGTTAAAAGTTCACTTAAACTCAGGAAGTTACTCCATATAAAACATCTGTAATCAAAGAGAAAATTAAACTTCTCTAGATATTGTCATAATCAATCAATTCCCCTTATTTTTTATTTATTTATGTATTTTTTATTCAAACTTATATGCCGCCACACCCCTGGGGCTCGGAGCGGCTTACAAGAACAGGCAAAAATCTAACACAATTTAAAAGCAATTTCAAACAATTTTAAAACAATTTAAAAACAACAATATCAATTATTCAGCCTCTGCCATTAAATACTGCAGTACAGAAGAGAGAGCTGGCTTGTTTTTCTGCTTCTCTGGAGACTAGGACTGAGATCAATGTGTTCAAATTTCAGGAAAGAAGATTCCAGCTGAATCTGGACCATGAGAGCTGTTCAGCAGTGGAACTCTCTGCCCCAGCGTGTGGTGGAAGCCCCTTCCTTGGAAGCTTTTAAACAGAAGCTGGATGGCCATCTGTTGGGGGAACTTTCATTGTGCTTTTCCTACACAGCAGAATAGGATCTGACTGGATGGCCAATGTGGTCTCTTGTATGTAGTCTCTACTACATACATTACTTGTCCGAACGCATCTCCCTCTACGTCCCGCCTCGCAGTTTAAGATCATCTGGGGACACCCTGCTCTTGCTCCACCAGCGTCACAAATACATCTGGTGAGGACAAGAGACAGGGCCTGCTTGGCTGTGGCTCCCTGCCTGTGGAACTCGCACCCCATTGGCTCCATCCCTCCTGTCATTTAGAAAGAAATTGAAGTCGTGGTTTTGGGACAAGGCTTTTGGACAACAGACATACATAGCACTTTGGTCATGGAATTGGATATGGAATTGACTGGAATGATGTTAGGGCTATTGATACTGTTTTAATGAATGTTTTACTTATTGTTTTAATTGTTATTATTTTGCTGTGTTATATGTAGTGGCATTGAATTGCTGCCAAATATAAGCCGTCCTGAGTCCCCCTTCAGGGGTTGAGAAGGAACGGGATAGAAATACCAGAAATAAATAAATTCATTTTATCTAAATATAAATTTAATAATATTCAAGCATCAGTGCAGGGATTTTATCTGTCACTAATAAGTGTGGGCAATCGCAATGAATGGGGTCTTATTGAAGTATTAATTGGTGTTAGCTAGCACCTAAATATCCTAATCAAGGACTGTTGTGGTACATAAAATAAGGGAGATTATTAAGGTGCGCAAGCTCCTCAGCCAGGAATCCCACCATCCCCCCCCCCCCAAAAGTAATCTTGAAAGAGGATAATATGCTTAGGCCATACCTCACAGGGCAACGTGCCAGTGTTATCCCGCACATACAAACTGCCATCCACCCATTTGTCTTTCTCTTCAGGTCTTTCGTTTGTTAAATAGCCAAAGAGGATCAAGTTCGTCTGTTGCAAAACCTTCTGGTTCGGCAAAAGGCCTTCATTCTGGTGAACCCATTTATTGAACTTTTCAGAGCTCCATGTAAGAAGGCTACAGCAAGGCTCACGTTGTTGCGACTGTAGGTCGGAGATGGAGACAAGGCTGGAAAAAGAATGGCTGATTTAGTGGGCATATAGGAAAAAGGCATATTTCCCTTTTAGAAATGAAGTAAGGAACCCGTGAGGGGCCTCAGGCGTGATCTGATGTTGGTTTAACCCCTGGGTCTGTTCAGACAAGAACAGACAAGCATCCCGAGCTCTGAGGATTACCTGGGAAGGAATCCCACTGGAGCATTGCAGCACACC